CGCATGTTTTGCAGATCGGCGGTGTGTTGCTGCCGCATCTGCTCGACCTGCTCGATCAGCCTTCTCAATGCTGCTTCGTTGTCCATGGTAGTTGCGTGATCTAGGTCGTCTGTTGCGCGTCTGCTATGGCTTCTGGTAGAAACCATAAGAGTGGCCGATAAGAGCTGTCTTGATCGGCCCCACGGTGGGCGCCAAATGTTCTTACCGGAAATCTGCTGTAGAGATGATCCTCCGAGTAAGATTGGTGAGCCTCCTTCGCTGGTACGCTTGATGCTCCAAGATGGGGGTGGTACCTGCAAAAGAGACTCCGATGCTAAAGTTAGTGTTTGTGGATGTATGAGTCTCGTATAAGTAATGCACGTACCTTTGTGTGTATTAGGGTTTTGTTGGGCCTTGGGCCCGAGATCAGTTTATGACCTAATTGGATAGCGAGTCGATGTCGCCTAGCGCGTGTCCGAGGTCACTCCGCGCTGTGATGCCGAGCTCAAGCTCGGCATAGCGATACGAATAGTACAAGACTAATAATATATATAATGTAATATATATATATATATATATAATTATTACTAAGAATAAATATATCTACAATTTTAATTTTAATTAAAAGTATATATTATAATTTGTATTTTAAATAAATTTATTTGTTTAGCAGTTAAATGTTATTTTTAAAAGTAAAAAAGTTATCCAATATTTAACGACAACGACATAATTTTGAACTTAAAATATTATAATATAATACATTCAATATCCCACTATTTATATTATAAACATTTTAATTTTATTTTTATATGACAGTATTATACAATGTTATGTCTATGTCAATTTGGGGACAAAATTACTCGAATACAGCACATGGGTTGTATTAATTAACCGGTGGAAATTGAAAAAGATCATGCGTCAAATATGAGACAATTATTGTGATGTATTGGAGCCACCGGTGGAGAGAAAAAAAATGTTAATTAAATGCAAAATGTTTATAAAACATGTCAAAATTGATAGATACTTGTTGCTATTTGAAAATGAAGTATGGACATAAAAATTTCATAAGAAGTCAAATTTATAATATACGTGTTGGTAAATTGGGTAGGTGAAATACCTACCTTTATTTAACAATCTTTAGTCCTCATTTTTAAGAACCAAGGGACAAATATTTTATAATTTTTTTTATATCAATTTACATTAACATTTTTATTTAATTACATATTTTAAATTTAATTTTTATTCAATTATATTAGAAATACGTGTATAATACAGAATAATTGCATTGTTACAATATATCAAGAAAATAAAGTTTACCACAAAGGTTGCTAAATTCAATGCTTAATTTTTAAAAGAGATCGTAAGAAGTTTAAATCATTCAATTAATTTAGTGTATAATTTAATTTTTGAGTCAAGATTATTATGATTTTTTTAATATATATAAATATATCATTAAAAAGTGAACAGAATTATTAGGATTAACCTTATCGAACTAACATGATCTTTTTCATGTCTTTCATGCCTGCTAGATAAACAATTAAGTTGGATACCAATCCATAATTATATGATTTTTAAGATGTCGTCACTTAAACTAAGAAAGTTCAGTAACACCGTTAGGTATAACATAGCTTGGGTATGGGCTTATCACGACATTGACATGCATTAACCAAGTCTCTTATGAATTACAACCTAGCTAACAATTCTCGCAATACCACACACCTATCTAGTAATCAGTTAGAGGTGTTGTAGTTCTCAACTTCATACCTTATTCCAACATCAACTAAGGATCTAGAGGAGACGTAATAATTCACTCCAATAGATAATGCCTACTCAATGAGGGTTTTCAACAAATGGGCTCATAAAGCACCACACCAATATTCACACAATGAGATATCTAACTTTCAAAAATAACCTTTCCTTTAGCCCTAAGTCAATCAATATGCCTAAATCTTTATAGCATTCTCAACATCACACCTCAATAATGGATCAACACAACATGCCTAAATATCTACACAATGGGATATCCAACTTTCAAAAATAACATCTATTATAGTCCTAAGTCTATCAACATGCCTACATGTCTATAGCATTCTCAACAACACATCTCCATAGTGTATCAACACAACATGCCTAAATTCCTATAGTACTCTCAGCATCAACACCTTAACAGGTCAATAAATTGTGTCTAAAACATTCTCAACATCAACACTTCAACAAGTATAATCTATATGCATTACCTCATGTCAATGGATATAGATCTAACAACATTAATCAATGTACAACATAATTGTACTTCAATAACTCAACCATATATATATATATATTATACTGTATTAATATACATAGACCTCAATCAAATCCAACAACATGCAATAGATTCATCTAACCTATTCATATTCACCAATTAATCATGTAAACAACAAGATATTATAAGGTAGGTTGCACTTGTTGTTATCCACCCTATGCTCGATGTCGTTGAGGTAGGGAGTCCTTTGTCTTGCCCATGCTTGGTGCCATTTAACCCATGCTCGACATGGATGAGGTAATCGTTGATCCCTCACACCTGCGTGTAAAGCTCTATGCCTAACCTTAAATTAAGCAGAGACAAGTCTTTTTCCTCACGTCCAACGCTACTCCTTTGGTGTCCGACACCAATTTAGGCAAAGACAATTCTCTCAACTCACATCTAGTGTCATTCAAATCATGCCCGATATGACCAAGTAGAAGTTATTCTCTTTTCTCATCATGCCCGAAACCACTAATCTTGTGTCTAGCATGAGTGAGGCAAAGGCCCCCTTATTTAAGCTATGCCTAACAACATAAAGGTGTGCCCAATGTGATGATGCGTTCTACACTCAACATATTCTCAAATTGACTTAAACCACCTAAAAATCAGAAGAACCAAGCATGCAAAAACATAATCCACAAGTATGCACCACATAAAGTCCATTACTCATTATATTAACAACATGCAACCATCAACAATCTCAAATCATCAAAATCGACCTTCACATGCTCAAAGCATCGATAACCCAATCTCTTTATCACACCATCCAAAATCAGCAAATACATTTACATTTTGATCACAATCAAGCAACATTCAATTCAGACAATTCAACATAACCAAGGTTCTAGCTTCCTTTACCTTGGATTCAAAGAGAATAAGGAAGAAGGAAGAAGAAAAAATTAAACAACACTGAGCTAATAACCCCGGAAGATCCTTACTAACTTCAATTCCCAGCTCCTCAACTTGAACCTTAACTTCTACTATGCCAACTAGCCAACAAGGAAAGAAAAGAAATCTAGGTAAAGAAATTTTGTCTTGATCACGTCTGATGTCACTCAACTAGAGTCCAATTTCACCAAGTTAGAGAGTTCTAAAGGCATCCACGTTCGACACCATTCAACCCATGCTTAACATGACCAAGTTAGAAAGCTCTCCTCCAACTCACATCCGACACTATCAATCCCGTGTCCAACATTAGTGAGGTGCCTCTGGCCTATGACATGTTTGATACCTTGAAGTTGAGTTTGACACAATAGTGAAATCTACACCTGGCAGAATCATGAGATTGGCTCATCTACACTTGAAACTCAAAAAATCTGATATGTAATATAGAATAAAACATATATACACATTAAACAACTCTTATCCATCTTTAGAATCAACATGCAACATACAATTTGATCAAAATCAACAATTTCAACTCAACCTACTTCATGAACAACAAAACTCCAACCTCAACCTTTAATATTTAAAATCATCCAACACAGCCACGATTTTCATGGGAATCAATCCAACAATGATCAAAATTATAACTTCCCTTACCTTCAAATCAAAGAGAAAGAAGGAAGAAGGAAGAATAAGAAGACTATCTCGAGCTAACTCAGCACGGAACACTCCAACAACTTGAATTTTCCATCTCTGAAGGTTAGAAATCTCTTTTCCGACAACACAACCCTCTTAGGAAGGAAATCTGAACACTCAAGGAAGGTAAGAAAAAAAAGAAGGAAGCCTAGTACTCCAAAGCGCTTCTTTCTAAACTCTTTCTAAATGAAGTCCATTTCTAAAGAAATGACCTTATATACCTTTTCTATACATCAAATTAACTGAATCTCTACTCAAAGGAATCTATAAACAACTAAAATTCCTTTGGAATTCCTTAATTCCTCAAAGTTTATTAGTAATACACAATAATTAATAAAATTAATCATAGTTTATAAAAATATACAGTGTTACAATATTTAGAAATTGTTAATAGAGTATAAATAGCATATTTTTTTAGGGAAATAAAAAATTGTAATGTATAAAGAAAGTTTTTAAAATATTTAACTAAAAAATATAAAAAGTTAAAATTCATGGGAAAAGAATAACATGAATGAAAATTTCAAAATTTAAGTGAGAGATACGGAAGTTTTTAATAAAAGCATAAAAGTATTATTTTTCAATTGTAATATCATATATGAAAAGAAAGTTTAATACATCATTTTATCTCTTACTGTTTAAATATATTTTAATTACATCCCTAAATGAAAAAAAAAAAGAATTATAATTAAGTCTATTTTTTTTAATATTTTTTTAATTTTGTTTCCGGAGTTAAAAATTTGTAATTTATAAAATTTTATAAAATATTTTTGATTTATACGTGAATAATAATGTAATATTGTAGGCAAACTTTTAACTCTAAAGACTAAATTATAAAAATATAAAAAAAATTAAAGTCCAAATTACAATTAGTTTAAAAACTTAACTAAAAAATCTTACAAATTTCATCGGCCAAATAATGTATTAAAGCAAAAAAGAATGCAACATAAGAATGATCTCATCGTGAAGAATAAAAACTTTATTTTTATTATATGAAAGTAAACAATAAACTTAAAACAAATAGTACTAGTCTAAGAAAAACATAATTAACTTTGGTATTGTCTGGTTTCAAATATGGTGGCTCACAATAAATTGGAGGGAAAGTGAGATCAGCTGTTCTTTGGTCCCTGGCCATTACTAATGTAGTCCCCATATATGTATCATCGTTACATTATGGAAGAATATATATATTTCTTTCTTTCTCTCCCCTAAAAATCATAATATATACCATTTCTTGTGGTCTATATCTATTGTATTGTATCATATCCATGAAACTTCTGCTGCAAATATCAGAGGTTTGTTGAGCCTTTTGAATAGGGGACATACCAACATATAATAGTGGCTTAACTCCTTTGGTTTTTCTCTCACTCAGACACACACCTCCACCAACAACACTCAAACAGTGTTGTGTTATATTGCATACCTTTAGTACCTCACTTCCTCATGCCTCAGCACCAACCAACTCCAATGGAACCACTTGTGAGCTACTACAACAATGGCAATGGCGACAGTGTCTGTGACATCATAAGCTGGTTTGAAGTTGTGTCCCAGAACGCTGGCCATGTTCAGACTCAGTTGCTGTGCCAGATTCTGAAGCAGAACTATGGGGTGGAGTATCTCAAGAAATGGTTGGGGAACTACAATATCCTTGAGATGGAACCATGTGCATTGGAATCCCTTTTCTCTTCTGTGGTTCCCCTTGCTTCACATGCTGATTTTGACCCTTATATCCAACGGATTGCAGATGGGGAGACAGCTCCTTTACTCACTCAACAACCCATAACACATCTTTCCTTAAGGTACCATTACTTTTAATTTCCTTATTTTCACTACTTCCTTTTACTTTTACTTTTTGGAGAACCAAACTATGATTCATTATACTGCTGATTTTTCTTTAATTTTATGGTCATGTTCACTTAAATAGGAATCAGAATACAGGACATTAGATAGAGGCCACATATGCCTCTCTCTCCATTTTATTCTGCCCGATTTCATTGGTTATGTATATATATGCTCAATCCATGGTTGTTCTTGTGTTTATTATTCATGACAAGGTCTTTTTATGCATTTTGATTATTTATTTATTTGTAGTAAGTACTTATTTTTTTGTTCTATATATACTTTTTTTTTTCTGTAACGTGTTTCTTTTCCTTTTCTTATGGAATGGAAAGATCCCCTGCCACTTTCTGATAATTTTTCTTTTTTACTTTTGATTTTCTTTTCTTGGTTTGCACTTTGCAGTTCTGGAACCACAGAGGGAAGGCAGAAGTTCGTACCCTTTACTCGCCATAGTGCACAAACCACGCTTCAAATATTCACCTTAGCAGCAGCCTATAGATCAAGGTGTGTATCTCTCAACAATAGTATATATCTCCTTGTGTTTGATTATTTTAAAGCACTTAAAATATTCGTCTTTATCTTTTCACTGTTTGCAGGGTCTATCCTACTAGGGAAGGTGGAAGAATTCTTGAGTTTATATACAGCAGCAACCGGTTCAAAACAAAAGGAGGTTTAACAGTAGGAACAGCCACAACACACTACTATGCTAGTGAAGAATTCAAAATCAAGCAGCACAAGACCAAGTCATTTACTTGCAGCCCTGAAGAAGTGATTTCTGGTGGAGACTACAAGCAATCCACATACTGCCACCTCCTTCTTGGCCTATTCTTCTCCGACCAAGTTGAGTTCATCACCTCAGCTTTTGTCTATAGCATGGTGCAAGCTTTCAGCAGCTTTGAAGAACTTTGGAGAGAGATTTGCAATGACATCAGAGATGGAACCCTGGGTTCAAGGATCAAGTCACCCAAAATGAGAAAGGCTGTTTTGGAGATCATATCTCCAAACTCAAATTTGGCTTCAAAGTTAGAGGCTGCTTGCCAGGAGCTAGAAGAGGTGGATTGGTTTGGTTTGATTCCTAAACTTTGGCCAAAGGCCAAGTATGTGTATTCCATTATGACAGGGTCCATGCAACCATATTTGAAGAAACTTAGGCATTATGCAAATGGGTTGCCTTTGGTTAGTGCTGACTATGGCTCGACAGAGAGCTGGATAGGGGTCGATGTGGATCCTAGTTTACCACCAGAAGATGTAACATTTGCTGTGGTGCCCACTTTCTCATACTTTGAGTTCATACCACTTCACAGGCATGAAAAAGGTTTCAGTTCAGGCGGTGATGATTTCTTGGAAGATAAACCAATTCCACTATCTCAGGTTAAAGTTGGCCAAGAGTATGAAGTTGTGCTCACAACTTTCACTGGTAATTACCTTTCTTAACTCTCTTCTATATCATGAGAAATTCTATGGTACTCTCAAATTTAAGGGTTTTGGTACATTGATTGAAGACGTGTTTGGATGTGTGTCTAGACAGATATTTAAGTAAGAATTGATCACATCAATTTTAATGAAAAAACATCTAATAATTGTTTATGCAAATTTATATCGAGTGACTTCAGATGTGTTACCGAACACACCGAGAAACTTTCATTTCCTTCTCTCCTTTAATATGCTAAGCTCTTTCAACTACCCACTCAAAAACTAATACTATCAAAATCTTTAAATTTTCCTAGTTGTACCATACCAACTTTTCTATGAGTACAACGTTATACATCACATCATTTACTGCATTTTAAATTTCTCTCTTAATTTTACAAACTGTCTTTGCATGTATCATTTCTCCTCTTCCATACCATTGCTCATTTACTTCAACCCATCTTTTTTCATTTTTATGATATATATATATATATATATATATATATATATATATATATATATATAT